CCTTTTTTTATGGTGGATTTTTTTTCGAGATAGGATCTCATGAACTATTTGCCCAGGCTGGCCTCGAACGGCAATGCTCCTGATCTCTGCCTCCTGTGCCTGGCTCTTTTTTTATTTTAATTTATTACTATTATTACTATTATTATTATTATTATTTTAGGGCTGAACTCAGAGTCTCATGCCTGCCTGGCAAGCACTCAACTACCCTGAGTCTCACCTCTAGCCCTTTTTTTTTTCTTTTCTTTAAAGGATGGGATCTCACTGTATTGTCCAGGCTGGTCTCAAACTGCCTCAGCTTCCCGAGTACCTGGAACTACAGTTGTGTTCCACCATGCCCAGCTAAAGCCTTGGTAATTTGGATGCTAGTTTAAGCCTAGGGTTACACCCCCTAGTAATAATGTCACTGATGCCATCAGGACAGGAAGTAATCCAATTCTGCAATCCTGTCCCTAGAGTCTTCTTTCCAGGGTCATTGGTGGGGTGGGACGCCCAGGAGACAGGGCTTGTTTCTGCGTGAAGTCAGTCGGTCACTGTAGAGTGGCGTCTGAGGCATGGGGGTGACAGTAAGACAGGCTGAGCTGGAGGCACAGCATAGATTTTCTTTCTAAGCAGCCTCCACATTTGTGTTTATTGACGGAGCGTGATGGATCGGCGTGGTCCTCCTGGCGTCTGATTTGCTTTCTCTCTTGAGTGCTTCCTTTGTTTTCTAGCTTTTGCTATGTGTTTGTGTCTGTGTGTTTTCTTAGGCTATCTCACTGCCTGGGTGGCACTTTAGCATGCTACCTCTTCTGGAACCTCCAAATTTTGTGAGGACAAGATGTGTCAGATGTGCTAAGATGTGACCTGATGCATAAAACCCCAGACTCCACACATGAATGCCTTCCTTGTTGGTTTTATTGTTTTATTTATGCCCTAAACAGGAATCTGGATAAATTCTATTTTGTCCAATGATGAGAGAGAGAGAAAAAGGTTGGTGTGTTTGTAATTACATGCATTACTTTATCGAGAACATTCTGGAGAGAATTTTGATTTTGACTAGTGTTAATGAGAAACAAATCCTTCACTTACAATTTTACCTGGCTGGTGACTGGACGAATTTCCTACACACGGCTGCTGGCTCTTTCTGGTTCACACCTAGTTCTTTCTCAATTACCCATAAAGCCTCAGCACCAGGCACAGCAGGGCACATCTCTGCTGCGATGTGACCTCTGCTCTGCACCTCAGTGTCACCCACTTTGTACCCTTATTAGGTAAGTCAGTGCCGAGGGTGGTAGGGTTCCCTGCATCAAGATGACTGGCAATAAGCCAGGTGTCTGTGGCTCACTCCTGTAATCCTAGCTACTTGGGAGACAGAGACCAAGAGGATCATGGTTCAAGGCCAGTGCAGGCAAGTAGTTCTTGAGACCCAGCTCCAAAATAACCTGAGTAAGCCAGGCAGCAGTGGTTCACACCTGTAATCTCAGCTACTCAGGAGGCAGAGATCAGGAGGATCGCAGCCCAGGCAAAGAGTTCCAAGAGACCCTATCTCAAAAAAAATCCATCACAGAAAAGGGCTGGTGGAGTGACTCAAGGTGAAGGCCCTGAGTTCAAACCCCAGTACTGCTAAATAAATAAATAGCCAGAGTAAAATGGACTGGAGGGGTAGCTCAAGCAGCAGAGGGCCTGCTTTGCAATAGTGAAGCCCTGAGTTCAAAATCCCAGTCCCATTAAAAAAAAAAGATGATTCCATATCTTGGTTGTAGGTGGAATGGACTGAAGCGCACATATTTCCATCCCACCCCACCCCCACTGAAAACATCCCATGTCAACTTCTGCTGGTCCCTATCTCACCTCTCGTCACGACACCTGGTGAGCGGCTGCCACTTTGGATGGCACCACAGGAAGGAACATTGGCGGCCGCACAGAAAGTTCACTGGGCAAGAGAACGCTGGGTGAAAAAGGGACCGTGGTCTCAACCAATTGAGACCCAGTTGGCCTAGCTGTGAGCCTTGTCCGAAAGCATTCGCCCATGTGGCAAGCAGCAAGGTCTGTCCACTGCTGTCCTCAAACAATCCGAGGGGCCCAAGGTGTCAGATTCTGAAGCTGCAAATTAGCTTCTGCTAAAGACAATTTTTTAAAAAAATTAAAGTTTGATGATGATGAAATCACATCAAAGCTAGTTGGTTGTAGGATTCGAATATTAAGTGGTGTTAAGCTAGAAGAATTGAGGACCAGAACATGACTCAGTGGTGGAGGCCAGGAGGCCCTGGGTTCAATCCCCAGTACAGGAAAAACGTAAAGAAGATGTCCCCATGATGCACTGGTGCGTTATAAGTTAATAGAGTCAGCATCAAGGTAAAGTAGGTGTAAGAAACTCCAGCAGAGGTCTGGGTTTTACCCATGTGATTCATGCTTCTTAGAATCAACACACCAACTATCAAAATCTGTCCACCTTTTGTCCTGGTTTCCAGGTTCCCCTCCCTTGCTAATCCCTGCTCTGTACGTTGTGCTGTCATCACAGGGCCTAAGAAGTGGGGAACAATCCTTTCCTAAGACAGGCTGTAGAGCAGCCTGTCCAATTGGACTTCCTGCAAACCTGCAAACCTGCCAACCCAGATGGTAATCACTCACCGATCACATGGTGGTATGGGGTCCTTGAGAGAGAGGAATTGAGGTTTGGGGCTTTTTTTGTTGTTTTTTGGTGGGCCTGCTGAGATTTGATCTCAGGGCTTTGCACTTGCTCTGCTTGCTTTGGAGATGGGGTCTCATGAGCTATTCTTCCCAGGCTGGATTTGAACCATGATCCTCCAGATCTCAGCCTGCCAAGTAGCTAGGGTTACAGGCGTGAACCATCGGTGCCTGGTGAGAAATTGAGTTTTAAATTTTATTTAGATTTCATTAACTAAAACTTAAATAGCCACATGTGGCCAGTGGCTACCATGGAGGACAGGGCAAACTTGGAGCCACAGCAGGGGACGATGAACGGGAAGGGGAAGCAGGAGGAAGAGGGCTGCTGGCCAGGTATCCATAAACAGCTTGGGGACTTTACAGAGAGAGAACAGTTCTGCCCAGAGGGCATCCGTGTGGGGCCTTCCTTCTGTTTCCTTCTGGGACAAAGTCTGAGCAGTGAGGTGGGCCAGGCAGTGGCTAACTGATACACTAGGCATACTGCCCAGAGCCGGCCATGCTAAATTTTGAATTATTTTTTTTAGATCAGAAGAAAAAAAATGGAGGTTGAAGAAAGTGTTTTAATGTGTAATCATAATATATTCATCTTTATGCTTATCCAGTAGTAAAACGTAATTAAAAAAAAATTGTCAGCTTGTTGGGTGCCTGTGGCTCACGTCTGTAATCCTAGCTACTTGGGAGGCAGAGGTCAGGAAGATCTCGGTTTGAAGCCAGCCCTGGGGAAATAGTTCATGAGCCTTTATCTCGAAAAAAAACCAACACAAAACAGGACTGGAGGAGTGGCTTGAGTATTAGAGCGCTTGCCTACAAGCGTGAGGCCCTGGGTTCAAACCCCAGTACTGCCAAAAAAAAAAAAAAAAAAAAACTTGTTCGCCAGGTGCTGGTGGCTCACACCTATAATCCTAGGAATTTGAGGAGCTGAGATCAGGATTATTAAGGTTCGAGGCCAGCAAATGGTTCTCGAGACCACCATCTCCAAAACAAGCAAAGCAGCGCTCCTTTACAGCACACGTTCTGAAATTGAAACAGAGAAGGTTAGCGTGGCCCCTGCACAAGGATGACGCGCAAGTTTGTGAAGCTTGCTTTCTTTCTTTTTTTTTTCAGTATTGGGGCTTGAACTCAGGGCCTTCACTCTGAGCTACTCTGCCAATCCTTTCGTTATGGGTTTTTTCAAGATAGGGGCTTGGGAACTATTTGCCCAGGCTGGCTTCGAACCTCAATCTTCCTGATCTGTGCCTCCTGAGTAGCTAGGATTGCAGGTGTGAGCACTGGTGCCTGCCTTTTTTGGTTTTTTGTTGCATATTATTATTATTTATTTATTTATTTTGAACTTAGGGCCTCACACTTGCTAGGCAGGGTCTCTTACCACTTGAGCCACCGGCCTTGTTCCTTAGTTTTTAAGTACAAAAATAAAGTAAAATGTAGCAGTCAGCTAGTGCTCCTAGGGCAGGGGGGAGAAATGACCCAAGCCTTGTATGCACATATGAATAATAAAAGAAAAAAAAAAAAAAAGCTAGTGCTCCTAGCTACTCAGGAAGCAAAGCTTAAGAGGACTGCTGTTTGTTTGGGTGAGACCCTTCACAGAAAAAGGGCTGGTGGAGTGGCTCAAGGTATAGGCCCTGAGTTCCAGTTCCAATTGCTAGTCAAAATCACCGGAGCAAATGGACTGGAGGTGGAGCTCAAGCAGTAGTGAGCCTGCTTTGCAAGTGTGAAGCCTTGAACCCCAGTCCTACCAAAAAAAAAAAAAAAAAAAAAAGAGTAAATGGAGAAAGAGGCCCCTCCCATCCCCTTTTGGTTTGAACTCTGGGCCACTCCCCAGCCCAGGCCAATGTCCCACGGAGGTCAGTGTATGTGGGAGGTGCCTCTTCCAACATTGACAGCTCCCCTGGACTCCCAGGTGTCTACCTGGTCACCTCCCCTATGACTGGTCCCTCAGAGCGCACTCCTAGCCTCCTTGAAGGAGCCCACCTGCTCCAGGGCCTGGCACAAAGGAGCCAAAGGGGACGATCCGGGGTCAGACCCCTGCCCCAGGTTTGGAAAGCGTGCATGCAGGCTGTGACACCCTTGGGCAGAGGGCATTGAGGGGCTGGGGAGGAGGTCAGCAGGTCTGGAGAGGGTGAGCTCATTCATCTTGACGACCCTCTGATTCCGACCCCATTCACAGGGGAAGAAAGGCTGAGGACTTCCCCCAAGCTCGCACGGCAGGGATTCAACTTTCGTTTTGTCATATGGATCCGACTCCCAACCCCAGCTTGCTACGTCACACCCCCGGCCTCCTCCCCCAGACCTGGTGGGCCGCGGGCGGGGCGCTAAGCCCTGCTTTCCCGCGGACCTCGCCACTGTCCCCAAGCGCTGCTCCCAGGAAAAACGTCCTTCCTGACGTGACCCTAAGAAAGGTCCTCCGGGCCTCGATTTCCCCTTTGTGAGCGCGCAGGTGCAGGAAGGCGCTTCCCTTTAGTAACAAGGAAGGGGGAAAAGAAGGAAGGGACAGCGCCCCAGCCTCGGCCCCACCCCCGACCCCAGGCCACCGCGCACGGCCAGGGGGCGGGAATGGGGCTCGGCCCCTTTAAGTCCCGCCCGGGAACGCCCGGGACCGCGGCGCTATTCCGGGATCTGCGGACCGGGAAGCGGGGTGTCCCCTCCCCGCGCGGTTCGGTGCGCTAGGCCTCGCGGGCCGGGCCGGGGACCATGAGCCGCATCTACCAGGACGGCGCGCTCCGGAGCAAGGCGGTGCTGAGCGCGCGGCTGCCCGGGGCCTGGGACCCCGCCGCCCACCAGGGGTACGGTGTGTGGGTGATCGGGGGTCCCTGGATCCCGCAGCTCACCAGGGGAAGGGAGCGTGGTGACCCTGGGTGCCCAAATCCTGGCTGCCAGAGGTTGGGAGTGAGGTGATCGTAAGTCCCTGGATCCTGCCACTTTCCAGGGACCCAGGATCCTGCTGTCAGCCGTGGGGAGGGAGTGGGATGACCGTGGGAGCCCAATTCGACCTGCCAGGGGTTGGGTATGGGGGTGACTGTGGGTCCCCAGATCCCGAAGCTCACCAGGGGTAGGGAGTGGGGTGACTGTGGGTCCCTGGATCCTGCCACCCTCCAGGGACAAGGTGTGGGTGACCTTGGGTCCCCAGATCCCTCTGTCCCTGAGGGGTAGGGTGTACAGGGGACCATGGGCCTGGGATCAGGCTGCCTTCCAAGGTAGGGTGCCTAAGTGTTCATGGGGTCTGGGCCTGGCAGCCCAGGGCTAAGGCTGTACCCCATCTTTGGGATGGAGGCTCTGGTGTGGGAAGCACAGAGAGCGGCTGATCGAGGCCAGGTGAACAGGACACAAGTGGGACTTGGTTCTGTCCCTGACCTGGCTATGGAACTGGAGTTGTGGCTATTTCCTAGGACTGAGGGCCCAGCCCTCCCTTCTTTTCCTCTCTGTCCCCAGGGGAAATGGTGTCCTGCTGGAGGGAAAACTGGTGGACATGTCTCGTCACAGCATCTTGGATGCCCACGGCAGGAAGGTGAGGATACACCATACTCACACCACCGAAGTGTCCCTGTCCTCACCCAGAAAGCATGTCCTTGTGCTCCTGCCAGTGCCAGAAGGGGATGCGGCTCCTTTCTGAGGGGTTCACGATGTGGCCGGGACCTGGGTCCAAAGAGCAGCAGCCAAACAGGATGAGTGAGTGGAAAGTGGACAGATCGGACTGTGCTGGGCAGCAGGGCCTGGGGCTTCCAGAAGAGCCTAGGTCACAGCTGAGAGGACAGAGCAGGCTCTTACCCCATGCTGACCTGACCATGTGCTCTGGGCCTATGCATGGTCTGGGCCTTTAGCTCTCATACCGATGCCCTCTGTCTGCCTCCAGCCTCCTGGGGTTGTCCCCTTTGTCACCACCTTGTCTCAGGTGTCCACTGACACCTTGATCTTCACCATCCTGAACAGCCTGTGTTACTTTTTTAAGCACTTCTGCATTTCTGCCATCTTTCAAATGTGCTGGCCACCCCAATTCCTTGGTTTTGACTCAGCTCCTAGAAATGCCCTCTCCAGGGGGCCAGAGGCAGAGGCCTGGTGCTACAAGGAATCCATGTGTCTCTCCTATACCCCATGGGGGAGGCGCCTCTCCTCCCAGCTCATTCATGCCTAGAGATGCTTGGCCATTCCCCCTGCTCTTTGGCAGGTGGGCACACCAATCCACCAGGAGAGTCTGGTGGTGTCCCCAGCTGACCTGGTGCTGGCCTGCCTTGGCTGCCTTCGCTCAGTCCCCTCCAAACTTTCCTCCTCCTCCTTTCTCCTTCCTGGTGGTGGTGCAGTAGCCCTCCCATCCACCAGCCTGTAGGTCCCCTGGTCTCCTCCTCCTCTCTCCCCAACTAAGCAACACCACACCCAGCTGGGTATTCCTTTCCTTCCCCTCCTCTCCCACGTGTGCCCTCCTCCCATGGGCCCTCAGCTGGTACTGATAAACCTTACACCTCCTCTCCTGCCTTCTGGGGACCCTCAAAACTCATCCCTGACCTGCTGCCAACTTCCAAAAATCCATCTCTGAAGGTCTCACTGCTGCTCCTAGACCTTTCAGATTTCCTTCTTGTCTGCCAAATAAATCCAAACTCCAAATGCCAACTCAAGACCTGTCTGAAACCCATCCCCATGGTTCTCCAGCCTGGGCTCCCACAAGGCCTTCAGATGTCCTGTGTTGCTTAGCTATGCATGTGAGCCTCTTGGTTTTTGCTTTATGTACAGTCCCACGCTTGTAGTGTCCTTCCTATGTCCTTGTTCCTAAGGTCACAGGTTTCTCCACCATTGAGAATTCACCTTCCTTGTTTCTCCCGGGAAGTGGTGTCCGCTTGGGTTACAGTTCCCTGTGTAAGTTTTCTGTGTCTGGCTGCATGGAAGCCTTGGGGTCAGGTCTTGTGTTGACATTGCCATGGACTTCTGGCATGGACATGGTATGGGGCAGGTGCTCCAGTGAGCACCCAAATGAATGAGTACCATTTGAGCGCAGCACCCGTCCAGCCTGGACCTTTGGAACGGAGGTGGGGTTCCCGGGCAGAGGGTAAGGCTGGGAGGGTATGTGTGTTGGGGTGGGGGTGAAGTGGCCCCTCACTGTCTGTCTGCCTGGCCCCAGGAGCGTTACTACGTTTTGTACATCCATCCAAGTCACATCCACCGCCGTAAATTCGACCCTAAGGGAAATGAAACTGAGCCCAACTTCAGCGCCACCAGGAAGGTGAACACGGGCTTCCTCCTGTCATCCTACAGTAGGTATCCTCTGCCTTTCCTCCCTCAGGGTGGTCTGGCCACTAGAACGAGGTTTCTTAGCATGGTTGGCCTTGATCCTGGTGTCTGTCCTCCTTGCTGGACTTTCCTGCCCTCCTCTTGCTCAGAGGATCCCACTGCCTCACCAAAGTCCCAGGGGCCAGGCGGGCCTGACCAACTCCTGCCATTTCCTGGAGTCTTGCAGAGTCGTCACAAACTTGGCTTTGGGCTCTCACTGCCTTTGTGCAGACCAGGCCGAGGCCCAACAACCTTTTCATCTACAGTCCAAATCCTCATTTGGTTATTGAGCCCTATCTCAGCCAGTTTGTGCTGCTATGGCTATGTCTTAGACTGGGTAACTTGCAAACAACAGAAGTTTAGTGCTCCCAGTTTTTCAGGCTTGGAGGTCCAAGATAAGGTCCTAGCAGATCCAGTGCGTGGTGAGGGCTGTCTCTCGAGGCAAAAGGGCAAGACGACGCCTTCTCACCTTTTTTTTTTTTTAAATAAGGCATTTATCCTACTCTCTGCTCAAGGCCACACCTCTGGATACTATTGCATTGGTGATTGAGTTTCCCACATGAATTCTGGGGGGGCACAGCAGGCCTGCCGTGATCTTTTCCCTGTAGATGGGTCTCTTTGCTGTCCCCCTCTGTGTGAGAAGATTTTGAGGTTGAGTGAGAATCTGTATTTTTATTCATCAGCTGTCTGAACATTTAGCAACCATCCGTCATGTGCCCCGGGCCACAGGCTGAGGCTCCAGGGATGACCAAGATGCAAACCTGCACTGGACGTCTTCTCAGTCAGGTGGAGGAGATGGACAGGATGACGATTGGAGCTTGGGGGTGACTCTGAGCCCAGGCAGGCATGGTCAGGTAGACAGGCACTGGAGGAGGGACACCAGCACTGAATCCTGAAAGATGTACAGGAATCAGTTGGCCATGGGGAGCTGGGAATCTCACCAATGATTTCCCTAGGCTAGTCTTCAACTTCGATCCTCCTTATCTCACTCTTCCAAGAAGCTAGGATTACAGGTGAGAAGGTGCCCAGCTTAGATTTTTTTTTTCTGTACTGGGGCTTGAATTCAGGGCCTACACCTGGACCCTCTCCACCAGCCCCATTTTTCTCCATTGAGTATTTTCAAGATAGGCTCTTGAACTATTTGCCTGGGCTGGCTTTGAACCATGATCCTCCTCATCTCTGTCCCTGAGTAGCTGGGATTACAGGCGTGAGCATGGGCACCCGGCCAGCTTAGATTTGTTTTGAAGTTGTCCTGGGACGTTGAATAGGCAAGTTAGGAGGCTGATAGTGACCTAGGATGGAGATAGGAGGACCAGGATCAAGGACGTGCCAGTGGAATGGAGGCATTCCAATTCCACATGGAGAGGACACTGGCCTTAGTGTTGCACTGTATTTGGAGGTTGAAAGTCCAGGGGTTGGGCATGGGTGCCAAGCTTGGGGACACAGGTGCAAGGAGAGGTTTGGGGAGAAGAGTTCTGTGGGAGACATTCTGAGTTAGAATGGCTGTTGGCATTTTCACTGGAACTTGGAGGTAGTTTTAGAATTCAGAGAAAGGATTGGGCTGGCAGCACCTGTGTAATCAGTGGATGTGAATGGGGTTACCAGGAAGAGGGACAGAGTGGGCCCAGGAGATTGCCTTGGGTAACAGCAGCAGTAAAAGATGGCCAGGGGACAGAGTCCCCAGAGGAGCGGGAGACAAGACCACAGGAGAGGTCTGAGGAAAATGGGAGGTGAGGTGTATCTATGAACGCCACTGGGGAGGTCATGGATGCAGGAGAGAGGAGTTGGCAATGGGGTCAGGTGTCGCACAAGGCTTAGTAAGACCAGGATTGGGAAGATGGGATTAGCAATGGTTGCATCTGGAATAGGGGGTGTGGAAGCCAGAATGCAGGAAAGTGTTGAGGATGGTCAGAGTGGAGAATGCCAGGAAAGAGGATCCTGGAGGAGGAGAGCTCCGCAGCCAGGGAGGAGGTCCAGGTCGAACTCCGCCTTGCACTTGTTAAAGAGGTACTCTACCACTTGAGGCACACCCCCAGCCCCCATCTTGTCCTCTGGGACAGAAAGAAAGAAGGAGAGAAGATGCTAGGTGGGTGGTGTCACCTGGTAGCTTCCCTTATCTTGAAAAGTAAATGAGCTGGTTGTCTCTAGACTCTGGTTAAGGCAGAGGATTGAGTAGAATGGAGCAATTTGAAAAGTTTCCTACGTGAGCAGGAGGTGTTCTTGACACCTTGGAGGAGGCCACTAGCCATTGTGGAATGTGGACAGGTGTTCTGGGGTGCCTGGGGGCTCTCCAGCAGGGCTGGGGTGCAGAAGGCAGCCTGTTGGAGAAGCTCTGGGGTGACCATGCACACCTCTGGGAACCCAGTGAGCACCCCAGCCTTGGGAGGCCACTCCTCCCCTAACCTGGCACCCACAGGTTTTGGGCTTGGATTCTTTCTTGAGCTGATGAGTTCTGCCATGGCCAGGATGAGCAGGCCAGCATAGAGTATAGGGACCACAGGTTTGCTCCTGACTTCAGCAGACTCCAGCCCAGCCAGGGACACTCCTGAGAGCCTGAGCGAGCCCTGCCTGGTCACAATCCCAGAGGGAAAGCAGAATTGCATGTTGGGTGTTTGGAGCCTCTGTTGCCTTGTGACCTTGAGCTAAATACTTAGTCTTGCTCAGCCTTGGTTTTCTCATCTGTAAAGTGGGACTAGTACAAACATGTGAATACTCCCCGAGGCCTTACTGTGTACTGGGCACTAACCTAAATGCTTTTACCTTATTTCATTTACATGTCAAGTCAGTCCTCTCAGGTAGGCACTTTTTCTAATCCCTATTTTCCAGGACATCTGTCACTCAGGTTATAGGCGAGCCCAGGTTTGCTCCAGGCAGCCTGGCCCCAGAGCCCAAACTGTGGTTCCTCTGCTGTGGAGTTCCTTGATGGGCTCTGGTGGAATGGTCACAGTGAGTGTGTAAAACTCTCAGCTCTCATCAGTTCCTGGCCCTCTGAGAGTATCTGCCACTCCAGTGTGCTGACCCCCGAACCCTGTGCCTGCAGAGGTGGAAGCCAAAGGGGACACGGACAGACTCACGCCCGAGGAGCTGCGGAGGCTGGTGAACAAGCCCGAGCTGCTGGCCCTCACAGCAAGCCTCACCCCCGGGGAGACGGTGGCCTTCTGGATGCCCGAGTCAGAGATGGAGGCCATGGAGCTTGAGCTGGGAACCGGGGTCCGGCTGAAAACTCGAGGCGATGGCCCATTCCTAGGTGAGCAGTGCGCCTTCATTCTGTTCTGGTGTTTTTCCCGGCCTCCCTTCTGAGCCTCCCATCCTCCTGCTTTGAGCTATGGCAGCGGTGGCCTCCCATGGGGGTGCTACCAGCCCCTTGAAATTTACTCCCAAATCCCTCAACAAGTGCTCTGGTTCCATTAACCTGGATGCACTAGATCGAGGGGTCACCCAACCCTAGGGCTCCTGTCACTGATCCCTGCTGTCTCTTGCCTTTGGGTCCTATTCAGGGCCTCAGTGACCACACCTTGGTGGAACCCACCAGAATGGACACCACCATTCTGCCACAGGGAATGAGAGAGAGAGAGAGAGAGAGAGAGAGAGAGAGAGAGAGAGAGAGAGAGAGAGAGACAGTTCAACTTCTCTTCTTCCAGAGTCATTAGCCAAGCTGGAGGCTGGGACAGTAACCAAGTGCAATTTTGCTGGTGATGGAAAGACAGGAGCATCCTGGACAGACAACATCATGGCCCAAAAGTCTTCAGAGGGGGCCACAGCGGAGATCCGAGAGCAAGGGGACGGGGCAGAGGACGAGGAGTGGGTATGTCGGGAGTCCCATTGGCCGTATGTCTCGGTGGGAGTTTTGTACACGTTGGTTTTGGTTGGGGTAGGAGGGTGAGGAGACATAAGGATAAGTCGTGGTCCTGACTTTGGTGGAATTCTGCATAATTCCTCAGACTCTGTTAGGATCAGGGACATTCCTTCAGGGACCTTATGAAGGGGACAGTCTGGCACCTGGCTTATTGGTAGGTCTACATGAGGCCACAAAGGTTTACAAAAGCAAAGGGTGAAAAGAGGGGGTGCAGAAGGAGCCAATGGAGGTCACTGAGTCCCAGAATATTTCTGCTTCAAGTGAAGAAAGTCAGCCACGTGGAGAACGTGTGGTTTTTCTAGACACCTTGTCCAGAGTGGCTCAAAAATGGCGGTCTTGGTCCTCATGGGTGTATCTTGTGCCAAGAAGGGTCATTTTTTTGAGCATATTTCACCTTAAGATTTGAATTGATGTCAGGAGCCCCCAAATGCAGCATTTAGAGTAAAGAAGTCACATAAAAATCAGGTCTTCATCTTGGGGAGAGGAAGATGGTGACTTTGGCCAAAGAAAGCTGGAAAGGGTGGTGGAGGGGCTGGACTTCCTCTCTCTCAATAAAGCCATCTGACAATCAGCTGGCTTAGGGTCTGCTCTTCTGATGTGTGGCCAAGGCAGGTGTCAGAGTGGTCCATGATCTAACCAGGGTACCACGTGATCCAACCCTTGTTTGTCTGAACTTAGACGTTTACGAAAGATGCTCCATTCACCATTCTCTACCTTGCCCTTTGGATCTCTCCAGGACGACTGAGATCAGAGGGCACCGATGCCTCTGGGTCTCACCTGCATCTTCGTGGCACCTTGGGATTTGTCCCCATCACTTCCACCCTGGAGCTGAAGAGAGCAAACAGCCAAGCCTTTCCTGCTTCTTCCTGCAGCTGCCTCTGCAGACCTTTTACACAAGCTTGCTGAAGTCACCTCTGAGACCATGACATCGGCGGAGGGACCCCAGGCTGTGGCTTGTGGGGCATGGTGGGGGTTGGGGGATCCATCCTTGGATGCAACTCTGACTTTCCAAGGAATGTTCATGGCACCCTTCCCCTGGGTGGCAGCCTGTAGTGGGTGACTTCCCCAGGGCAGTTTGAGGCTTGGCTTGGAGCAAAATTGGGGAACATCCTTTATGCAAATGCAGAGGTCTCTCCTTCTGTCCTGTTTCCTGCTTTCCTTCTATCCCACCCTCTCTCCAGCCTCTCCTGTAGCCTCTGCTATCCTGCTTCCAGCCTCCCTGTGCTCTTTCTTTCCACCCCACCCCACCCAAGGTACCAGTTCTTTATTTCTGTGACTCCATGTTCCCTTGGGGTTTCCTGTCTCCTCCCCTCCTTGACTCCGACTTGACTGATTCTTTCTCAGGGAGGCCGACACCGGCATGGCTGGCTGGTCTGCAGCTCTCAGACTGACTCTGCTGGGCCACTTTTTGTTTGTTTTCATGTGCAGGGAAGTGCTCCCCTCCTCAGCCTGCCCCCTCAGCTCTGGGCCCCATTTTTGCCACCACCTTTTCTGTTGTTTTGTACCTTGAGAACTTTTTATGAATGAGTAAATCTCCAGGAAAGTATTTCTCCACACTGACTGGGTTCTTGTCAGGTGTTAATGGTTTTCCAGCTGAGGTCTTCTAGCTGAGCCATGATCCTAAAAGAAGGAAGACTGGTGACTTTGGTCATGGACATTGCCTTCTGGGTAATGTGCCCACACTTAGCTCTGTTGAAATCCAGAGTGGAAGTCGACAGGTCCTAAGTTAAAATTTACATGTCTGTGTCATGTGGATCCTGCTTGACCCCAGGGAAAATGGCAGGGATGGGCGGGGATGGGGTGGGGTAGGGTAAACTGGTAGTTATGGACACAGCCATTTTTGTAATGGGTTTTTTAGAGATAGGGTCTCATGAACTTTGTTGGGGGGCTGGCTTTTGAACCACAGTCGGACTTCAAACCGTGATCCTCCTGATCTCTGCCTCCTGAGTAGCTAGGATTACAGGTGTGAGCACTGGTGCTCGACTCCAAAGACGTTTTAGTCACTTAGGTAGTAGTCAGTTTTGTGCCATACACTGTTCCAAGTGGCCACAAATACTAAGTCCTTTGTGGTTATGACAACTGTCTGTGCTGAGTAGAATGGCTGACCAGTTTTCCAGTTAAGGAAACTGGTATGGTAGATGCCTGTAATGAAGGTGCCCAGGCAGCCAGCAGAGCCAGAACTGGAATTCATCCGTGTCTTTCCAGGGGCCTGTGGTGACGCCACCACTCCATCAAGATGCAATTATCATTCATATTTTAGTATATTCGCTTTCAATCCTGCACAAAGTGAATTGTCCCTTCATGTAATATTTAAGTTAACAGATAGGCCACTGACATTCCCTGTATCACAAATCTTGTTGTTGGCACTGGGGTTTAAACTCAGGGCCTCACATTTGCGAGGCATGCACTCTATCACTTCAGCCACTCCACCAGCCCTTTTTTGTGATAGGTTCTTTTCGAGATAGGGTCTTGAGAACTAGTTGCCCGGGCTGGCTTCACACTGAGATCCTCCTGATCTCTGCCTCCTGAGAAGCTGGGATTACAGGCGTGAGTCACTGTGCCCGGCTCCCACAAAATGATTTTTAGCAGTCATTTAGTATTTCTCCTATGCATATAGAGCAATACACTTAGCTGATTTCTCATTTGGGAATAATTACTTTGCTCCCCATTTCCCCTGTAATTACACTGCTAGGTTGTACGTTCTTGAGTCTGAATCTTTTCACATATCTACAACCATTTTATTATAAAACCCAAGAGTTGGAAACTCTGAGTCTCATGTCATCTAAGAACTTTTCATGCAATTGCGCTGGATACATTTGCAGCTTTGTTTTGTTTTTTTTTTGAGACAGAGGCTCACTATGTAGCCCAGGCTGGCCTTGAACTTGTGATCTTCCTGTTTCAGCCTCCCAAGTGCTGTGATTACAGGCGCGCGCCACCACGCCCAGCGATTTGCAGCTTAACCACAGATCAGCGCAGTGTGGACCTGCTCCAGCACACCCACACCAGGTCGTTAAAAGAGAAAACGAACACGGATGTTACAAGTTTGGGATCGCCAGTGGAAATGCATTAAAAATTCCTTCATGCCACCGTTCTCCATGTACATGGAGACCCAGCATTTGCACGAGGAGACATTTATATGGATTCCGATTCGCGTCCTGGCCAGGCTCTTCTGACTGCTGGTAGAGCCGAGCTCCTCAGGGTCCACACCCGCGCTCCGGAGCCGCAGCCAACGCGGGAAAGCCCGGACCCTTTGGCTCCAGGGCTCTGTTTCCGGTGAGATGGTTTTGGGACGGACACAAACCGGAAGTTCCCGTGTTGTGGCGGAAGTAGGTGCTTCCTGGGAGCAGGTGCCGAGAGAAGCGTGGCTGCAAAGATGATTCAGGCGATCCTGGTTTTCAACAACCACGGGAAGCCGCGGCTGGTCCGCTTCTACCAGCGTTTCGTGAGTGCGGACGGCCTCGCCACGCCCCTGCAGAGCGTCCACGCCCTCTTCCCCGCCCCTGGGCCCTGGGCGGCGGTGGCCGCTCGGTGACCGTCCCGGGCGCCTGCACCGTGCATGGCCCCCGCCCGTCCACCATAGCCTCGTCCCCCCGACCCGGCGGGCCAGGCCCCGCTGCTCCGCTCTTTCTGGCCTTGTTCCGAACCCCGGCGTTTCTGTCCTGTTTGTGGCACTCTCCCTTGAGTCTCAGGTCACCAGAGCTAGGCGACGGTGGGGACCGCGCCTCATTGAGAACGTGACTGAAGTCACTTTCCTTAACTTTTTAGGTCGTCGGCCGCAGTGCCGGGAGGGAATTGAGTTTCTTTTTCTTTTTTTATATTGAGGCTTTTTTATTTTTTTATTTTTTTTTTTTGCGGTTCTGGGGCTTGAACTCAGGGCCTACATCTTGAGCCACTCTACCAGTTCTTTCTTGTGCTAGGTTTTTTCGAGATAGGGTCTCAAACTATTTCCCCGGGCTGGCTTTGAACCGCGATCCTCCTGATCTCTGCCTCCTGAGTAGCTGGGATTACAGACGTGAGCCACTGGCGCCCTGCTTAAGTTACTTAAAGTTGTTTTTTTTTTTTTTTTTTTTTTTTTTTGGCTAGAGAATTGGCGAAATAGGAGTTATTTAGCTTCAGTGTTGGCCGGGACTTCTGGAACTGGGTACCCTTCACTATGTAGTGTCCAGGAGTGTCCCTTTAAAAGTGGGAAAATAATGAGAAATTACGCGTGCTGCCACACGAGGGCGCGATCTGTTCATGTGAATTTGAATTTTCCAAAAACCTTCCTCTGCACAAAACAAACATTATTTCCCTCCTGCCCCCCAATATTTTATTTCTTCGTGGCTAGGTTTGATAACATTTTATAATGTGGGGTCCTGGCGAACCCCAAGACCGAGAGAGTGAGAAAACGTGGTCAGGCCTTAGCTCCACCTGTTCTACTCTATGGTCTATTGGCAAGTTAATAAGCCTGTTTCAGATTTTAGTTCCTTTGTCAAATAGGAATGCGAAAACGATTCACCTTCCGTGGGATTTTAAAAACGAGATGACATTTTTAAAAAATAGATTATATCAAGTTAAAAAATTGAGCATCCAGTATATCTGTTCAATTTGTATTTGCATTTGTGTGTTTCCCCACAGGTTTTTTTTTTTTTTTTTGCGTTACTGGGGTTTGAACTCAGGGCCTACACCTTGAGCCACTCCACCAGCCATTTTTTGTGATTTTTTTTTTTTTTTTTTTGAGATAGGGCCTCACAGACTATTTGCCTGGGCTGGCTTCAAACTGTGATTCTCCTGATCTCTGCCTCCTGAGTAGCTGTAATTACAGGTGTTAGCCACTGGTGCCTGGCTCCCCCTAGTTTTTCTAACAGTTTTAATAATGTAGCATACAGTTCACTTAAAGTGTACGATTCAGTGGTTTCTCTTACCGTCAATTTTAGAACATTTTTACCACCCCCAAAAGAAACTCTGACCAATTAGTAATCACTCAAGTCCCAGTCCTAGGTAACTACTTATCATTTTGTCTAGATTTTTTTTTTTTTTTTACTCAGGGCCTACACCTTGAGCTACTCCATCAACCATTTTTTGTATTGGGTATTTTCAAGATAGGATCTTGTGAACTATTTGCCCTGGCTGGCTTCGAATTTTGATCCTCCTGATCTCTGCCTCCCAAGTAGCTAGGATTACAGGTGTGAGCCATGGGCACCTGGCCATTTTGTCTAAATCTTGCCTATTGTGGGTATTGTATGTAAATGGAATCATACACATTATAGTCAATTTTGTGTTTGTCTTTCATTTAGTAAAATGTTCTGAAGGTTCATCCATGTTGTAGCATCTATCTTGTGTTATTCATTTTTTGGAGATGAGACCCAGGCTGACCTCTAACTTGAGATCCTTCTGTCTCCCCTCCCTAGTGCTTGGATTACAGGCTTGTGCCACCACACCTGCTCTTCCTTCCTTTTTATTTATTTCTTTTTTTTTTTGTTTTTGTTTTTTTCTTTTCTTTTTGTTTCTTCCTTTTTATTGGGTGACTGATAGCACATTTAGGTTTTCCCTCACTTACTGTTTCAACTTCGGGGCTCTTGTGAATAATGCTACTCTGAACATTTATATGTATGTTTTTATGTTTTCATTTTTCTTAGCTATATACCCAGGAGTAGAATTGCTAGATCTTATGATAGCTGTATGGTGAATGTCTTGAAAAATGGCCAAACTGTTTTCCAAGTGGCTGTACCATTTTGCATTGCCACTAGGGTTGCAATTTCTCCACCTCTGCCCAAGCGTTTATTGTTTGCCTTTGTGTGTGTGTGGGGGGGGGTGTACTGGGGATTGAACCCAGGGCCCTTCTGCATGTGAGGCAAGTGCTCTACATCTGAACTGCATCCCTAGCCTTGTTTGTCTTTTTAATTAAAGGCATTTTAATGGTTGAAAAATGATATTTCCTTTTTAGTTTATTTTTTGTATAACTGGGTTTTGAACTCAGGGCCTTATGCTTTATAGGCAGGTGCTCTCCCACTTGAGCCACTCCACTAGCCCTTTTTTGTGTTGGGTATTTTTGAGATAGTGTCTCTGGAACTATTTGCCAGGACCGGGTTCGAACCACAGTCCTCCTGATCTCTGCTTCCTGAGTAGGTGGGATTACAGGCGTGAGCCACCAGTGCCTGGCACGTATCTTCTTTTAAAAGGCGGGTTTTGATTCACTGGTTTTGATTTTTATTTCCATAATGACTAATGCTGTTGAGCACCTTTTAGCGTGCTGTTGGCCATTTGTGCCTCTTTGGAAGTGATAGGATTGTGTAAGAAGTTGGGTAAAAATCCCTTGAAGACCTGAAAAGAAAAGGGCTGTTTGAGTAAGGAAGCCTATGAGCAAATTGGTGGTTTACCTTTTTTTTTTTTTTGTGGTACTGGGGTTGAAACTCAGGGCCAACACCTATACCTTGCGCCACTCCTCCAGCCCTTTTTTGTGAAGGTTTTTTTCGAGGTAGGGGCTCTCGAACTATTTGCCCAGGCTGGCTTCAATCCATGATCCTTCTTATCTCTGCCTCCCGAGTAGCTAGGATCACAGGCTCGAGCCTTTGGTGCCTGGTTGGTGGTTTGTCTTTTTGTTGAACTAGAAGTTAGTTGGCTTCCCCTTTTTGTACCACTTCCCTCTAGAGACAGAATGAAAGGCTTTCTTTCCAAAGATGCTTTTGTCAGTTTAAAAAGTGCTGATGCTTAGTTTGCATTTCTGAGTCATGAGTAATGTTTTTCAGCATCTGGCCATCTGTTCACTTTGTGTGATCTTTAGACAGAACCAGGAAAGTAGTAATTGATTTTCTCAGATTTGTAGTGCCCAGCAATGAGCAAGTTTGAATTCATCCATCCAGTAGATAATTCACACAGTAACTTCCCCACAGTGACACTTTCTGTGTTTCTCCCCTTCTGTTTAATAGCCATTTCAGACCGAAATTCAGTGCTGTAGAAAGAAAGGGATTATGTCATTTGGATGTATTTTCTGACTCAGGGCGAGTCCAATCTGAAAGTCCCCTGCTTTGTCATCAGTGTGGTCCCTAGACCAGCAGCATCGGCCTGACCTGGGAGCGCTTGAGCTGCAAATTTGGGGCCTGGCGCAGAGACGCTGAGTCAGAATCTGTGTTTAAACAGCATTCCCTGAGGATTCGCTGCACATTACAATTCCAGAAGACTGGTCTAGAGCTTTCAGTTACTCAAGAGGCTTGGTTTTTGCCGTAGTATTTATGAAACTCGTGTAAGTGGAAATCAAGTGTGAGGTGTGAAGTGACTTCTTCACAGCTAAGCTTTCTTAAGTGTGTAATATCTGAATGTCGGGTGAAAAATTACTTGTAGCTCTGTTGAGATACTGCTTAAAATGTTCATCTGTAAGTACAAGTCTCAGTAATCCTTTGTAGCCCAGCATCTTCTGTGTAGTACATATGTTACAATATAAAAGATGGAAATGTGTACATGATTTATGTTTGAACTTCATAAAGTGTTAGAACTATTGAGATTTGTTATGTGCCTGGCATGAGTGATTTCCAGGAGACAAAATACTTCAGGAGCAGGCCTGCCAGTTATTCTCTGACTTTGTGTGACAGCTTCTGAATTCTGTCTTCCTTGTTCAAATACCAGCTCAGCTGTAGGGCGATGGTGAGGTAGGTGAAGGCACCCTGTCTTACTTCCTAGGGCCGAGCCTTGTCTGCTTTCCCATAGAGTTCCTCTCTTCTTTTCTGAACCTCATACTTAACGTTCAGGTTGTTCCCAGCTTGGAAACACTTCTCCCCATGTATATCACCATTGCTGGGACAGTCTCCAGACCTGCCCACTGATGCACATTTTTTTCTTTCGTGGTGCTGGGGTTTGAACTCAGAGCCTACACTTTGAGCCACTCCACCAGCCCTTTTTTGTGCAGGGTTTTTTTTGAGATAGGATTTCATGAACTATTTGTCTGGGCTAGCTTTGAACTGAAATCCTCCTGATCTCTGCCTCCTGAGTAGCTGGGATTACAGGCATGAGCTACCATGCCTGCATCAGTGCACTTTGTCTTGTTGTTGTTCTACAGCCAGAAGAAATTCAACAGCAGATCGTCCGAGAGACTTTCCACCTTGTCCTCAAGCGAGATGACAACATCTGTAACTTCTTGGAGGGTGGCAGGTAAGCTGTATTATAGCTTCTGGTGCACCCAGGTGTCAGGTACCCGAGGCTGCTTGCTGTGGGCTTAGTATGGTCCACTCAGGGAGGGACCCAGTTCTCTTTGGGAAGTGCTTCAGCTTTACCCAGATGTTTGGTTTCTGGGAGCATAGGCAGGAAAGTTGCTGCACAGTGGCTTGAGGCACCTCTGCCAGACTTGGCTGCATTCCTGTGGTAGAAGTGGCTTGTTCCCAGTGCTTAGCCTTCCCTTTTCCACCGGGCCCTTTGTCATTGCTTGTGCAGGGTTTCTCTGTGATGTGTTTAATCCAGGTGCGTGCATTTCAGTGTTCCCCATCTTCCACAGTTTGATTGGTGGCTCTGACTACAAACTCATTTACCGGCACTATGCTACCCTCTACTTTGTGTTTTGTGTGGACTCATCAGAGAGTGAACTTGGGATCTTGGACCTCATCCAGGTAGGTGTAGTCAGCTAATGATGGCAGCGGGGGAGAGTTGGCGTGAAGTTTTGAGTCGGTCCTGTGGACCGATCTTCTTGTCTCCTTGTTGAGATTGGTAAAAGTCCCCACGTGTCCACCAGATGGCGCTCTGGGAAAGCACGGGAACAGCCCTCCAGCACTCAGCTGCTGGGGTTGTTGGTTTCCCCCAGCCCTTGCCCTGGCCTTGGTTTTCTTGTCTTTGAATTTTCCTGCAAATAACAGACTGAGTCACTCTTAAACATGTATAGTTTTTATTTCCACTTATAATTGTAGCCTGAAGCAAAGAAACTTAATACTTTATGCAGTCTTGACATAGGTCAACATGATTTTTGTTAGGTTTTCTGAAAATTGGGGAGAAGTTTTTTTGTTTTTTTTTTTTTTTTTTGTCTTTTCTTTTTTGGTGCTGGGATCGAACCCAGGGCCTCACGCATGCTAGGCAAGCGCTGTACCACCGAGCTACATCCCAGCCCGGTTTTCTGAAAATTGGAAGTTGCTTACTGACTGTTTTCAGTACCTTCATAGAAACTGAGGGGTGGGGCTGGGCATAGCCAGCAGTAGAGCAGTGCTTACATGCACAAGGTCGAGAGAGAGGGAGAGAAAAATGTAACTTCATAATTCAGTGCACAACTGTTGAGTACTTTGTGAGCATTGGATTTGGGGAGCTCAGGTAAGTCAAATATAAAGTTAACAGGAACTAAGATTTGGTCTTTGAAAAGACAATAAAATCAGTGAATAGCTGACTTAATTGATAGAAGGTAAAAGAAACAAAACATTTTCAGATGATCTACATACATAGTTATATTAGTAATATATTTGAAATAACTGACTACAAAAAGTAAATGCCAAATAGAGTCAACACAAAGGTACCTGAGATAATCTGGTATTAGGATGAAATAAGATGTTTAAAGAACAAAGAAAGAAAGGAAAAAAGTACTGATTCACTAATAGACTTTTAGTAGAATTTTTGAAAATGGAAATACAATAAAGCCTCTGTATTACATTATTTTATAAACCTGCCAGATGCCAGTGGCTCATGCCAGTAATCTTCATTACTCAGGAGGCACAGATCAAGAGGATAGCAGTTTGAAACCAGCTCGGGCAAATAGTTTGTGAGAACCCATCTCCAAAAAAACCATCACAAAAGTAGGGCTGGTGGAGTGGCTTACGGTGTAGGCCCTGAGTTCAAACCCCAGTACCGAAAAAAATAAAAACTTAATAGGCAGGCATGGTGGCACATGCCTGTAATCTGAGTACTCTGGAAGATTGTAAATTCAAAGCTAGCCTAGGCTGCATATCCAGACTGTCATTTGAAAAAAACCCTAAAACATAAAACAAATCAACCCATTCTCCTTGTGTATTTTATGGCGCAAATTGGTTATCACCCAAAAACCGGTTTGTAAAAGGAAGATAGTACTCAAATATTGCATATTAGTGTTGATACACAATTATTAAACCAAATCTCAGCCAGTGATCGATCGAGCCAAGGGGTTGTGAGCTTTTCCCTCCTCCCCAGTGCACTGGAACAAAGAACCAGGGCCTCTTATCTCATGGGAGAAGTCTACAGGCTTTCATGAAAACTCAGGTATCTCACATTTACTCCAGTTTTTGTGTGAGCAAACCCTGTCACCAAATAGTAATAATAACAACAATGATAAAAATCAACAGAAAAGCAGAGGAAATCTCTGCTGTGGACCTGCTGGTTGCTGTTGAAATGGGCAAGATCATGAAACCTGGGAAAGTGGTGCTGGTCCTCGCCGACGCTACTCCAGACGCAAGGCCGTCATTGTGAAGAACATTGATGGCACCTCAGATCGCCCCTACAGCCATGCTCTGGTAGCTGGAATTGACCACTAGCCCCGCAAAGGGACAGCTGCAAGGGGCAAGAAGAAAATCGCCAAGAGGTTAAAGATCAAGTCTTTGGTGAAAGTTTATAACTACAGTCACCTTATGCCCACAAGGTGTTCTGTGGATCCTCTTGGACAAGGCTGCTGTCAACAAGGATGTCTTCAGAGACCCAGCTCTTAAACGCAAAGCCAGACTGGAGGCCAAGGTCAAGTTCAAGGAGAGATATAAGACCGGCAAGAACAAGTGGTTCTTCCAGAAGCTTTGGTTTTGGATGTATTTTGTTCCCATCATTAAAAAAAAAAAGGAAAGAAAAGAAGAGGAAAGAAAGTGATAAATGATAAGAACAAAATGGCAGAACGTGAGATCATTCTATTCAGATTAATTTCCTATTTCTAGGAAAACTGCTAGAAAATTTGTAATTACAAAGAAATCTCAAAGCTGGTGGAGTGGCTCAAGTGGTAGAGCATCTGCCTAGCAAGTGTGAGGCCCTGAGTTCAAACCCTAGTACCACCAAAAAAAAAGAAAGAAAATTCATTTGCTATAGTGATTAAGGGTAGTGTTTGGAAATTAACTTAGAATGGAATATACGACTTTGATTCTAGAAAAATCGTAAAATCTTAAAACCATAAAGGGACACTTGAATGAAATGCAGCTATAGGCCACTCTGTTGGAACAAGTCAAACCACGATGACGGGCCTCAAAGGTAGTCACCAATACATCAAGTGGGAAAGCAAGTGTTCTGTCAGGGGACCTCAGGAAGTGACTTTTCTATGCTTCAGAACGTACACTAGGGACCAGGAAGAGCAACTGCTGACTGACACCCTTATCTTGAAGTAGGAGCATTCTCCTCTCTGAGCGCAGAATCCTCAGTTCAAGTCTCTTCACCCTTCAGCATGCTCTTTGTTTCTGTTCCAGCTCCTGTATTTCTTCCTTTGCTACCTGACTTTTTCTTTCTCGTGACCTGGATGTCTTGAATGTTTCAAGGCTATAGGAGAAACAGACACATTAGACTGTTCTTTTTCTTACCTCTGTCTGAGGATGTCTTTTGTAGGGTTTGTCTGTCTTGTTTGTATCACTAGCCTATCAGGGAACCCAGTCTGTTTTTGTTTTTTTTTGGTGGAACTGGGGTTTGAACTCAGGGCTTCAAGCTTGCAAAGCAGACATACCTCCAGCCCAAGAACCCAGTCTTAAATTTCATTAACTCTTTAATAAAAGCCCCTTGGAACTGGGCGCTGGTGGCTCACGCCTATAATCCTAGCTACCCAGAAGCAGAGACCAGGAGGATCGCTATTTGAAGCCAGCCCAGGCAAATAGTGCTTGAGACCCTATCTTGAAAACACTCATCCCAAAAAGAGGCTGTTGGAGTGGCTCATGGTGCAGGTCCTGAATTCAAACCCCAGTACCTAAAAAAAAAAGTTCCTTGGCACAGTGCTGCTTCAAAAATCATTGTGCCTCACCATGTACTGGACCATGTCCTTGGTCCAGTAGTTCAGAGCCCAGTTGAGTATGGGATGCTTTCTTGCCACTGTCACACCCTGCAGTCATAACTGCAAGACTTAGATGGCACGTGACGGGTCTGGCATTGCTTTTTAATTTTTAAAAAAAATACTCAGTTCATTACTATCTAAGGTATTTTAATGTCTGCATTGAAAACAGTTAGGGGCAAGGTGAAATAAAAAGTGCCTTTACTTTTCCTCCTTAAAGGATTGTTGGCCAGAGTTTTCTTTCACATTTTATTTTCTGTGGGAACTTTAAACTTTGTCAAGTTTCATTTTAAAAATCCTGTTGGAGACTTCCACACTTGCAAATTCATTTTCTTCCTTTAAAACTATAGAAAGTGATTTTTTTTTTTTTAATGGCACCACTGGTGCCATTTTTTTTAAATGGGCTTGAACTTAGGGCCTCACGTTTGTTAGGCAGGTGCTTTTACCAGTTGAGCCACTCTGCCAGTCCCAAGAGAGTTTAAAAAAAAAAAAGTATTACATAGACAAAGAGAACAGGAGCAAATGTCATAGAATATTTTGAAAGCTGGAAAGAGTGTGAATGCCTGTAATTGATGTGGCAGTCACAGCCCAAAGAAGCCACATACCAGGCCAGCAGTAGGGAACACTTGCTAGCCAACCTGATCTGTGCCACTAGAGTTTCAAAAGGTCACAGAGTCTCAGTGGGGTGGGGATGGATCAGAAAGAGACTAAAGGCTGCCTGAAAATAACATGGACTAAGTCCTTTTTCCACCTCCAGGTATCTGGGTGAGCAAGCCCTTCCCTAGCAGGAGACTAGAGGTGTGTTCTCTGTAGAAGGTAAAAGAAAGTATTGGGGTGGGGGACACCAGGTCCAGTTTGATGCTGCAGGTCAGGAGATTAAGTGAGTGGACACAGTTCCAGCCCTTTATCTCACGACTCCCATATTTCTGGCAGCTCCCTTTACTCTGCAGAAGGTGGTCAGATTTCACTGTGAATTTGACCAACGGAAGGGGAAAGAAATCCTAACAGCTTGGAGGGTGGTCCCCGATAAACACCCACAGTTGCAGAGATCTTCTGCTAGCCTTTTATTCTAAATTGAAAACTAAGGATTACCAGGCATCTGAGAAAAACCTGTGAGATGGAACAAAGAAATGAATAAACGAGGAGGAGCAATATAGACGACTTGGGCACCGTACAAAAGCAGAAAATTGAAGGAAGGGAGGGAGGAAGAAAAAAAAGAGCCCAAATATACCCGATTTTAAAGCCACAGAAAAATAAGAGTACCAAGAAAAAAATGCATGCTAAAGAAACTAACGCATTCAGAATTAAAATGATCTCTTAGAAATTAAAAAACCTGAGCAGAACGAAAAGAAACAAGAATCCACCTCAATTGAAATACTGGAAGGTCACATGATATGTTGCTTCCAGAATGGGCAGAGATGGGAACTGGGAGACAAAAGATAGAGAGACTTAGTCCCCAAGCAGGAGCATCTTCTGTAAGGTGCGTTAGGATTGAGGATTCTAAGAGATTGTCACAAGGTTATGTGATGGAATTTCCCAGTACTAAAGAACACAAACTGTCAGATCTTAAGGGTTACCAGGTACCCGGCACAGCGATTAAAACTAGACTGCTAAATGGAAAGAGTTGTAATTATTAGTGCCACACTGTCGTGTGTGGGTGTGTTTTTCTGTTAGGTGTATGTCTGAGGTGTAGAATTGCTAAGTATTAATAGATAATAGCCAGTAGTTTTCCAGAGTGTTTGGTATCTAACAGAATTCCATGCAGTTATTGATCCCAGGGCAAGACGTCAGACGTATCTGACCACTGATGTCAGAGTTGCCAAGGAACACAGCAGTCAAGCACTGGATGGAATAACTCTTTACTTCTGTAGAGAAGAGACCCCGCGATGACTCCAGTAGCTTGTCCCTCATGGCTAGTAGGTCTCCCCAGCAGCCACCACAGGGTGGTTTGCCTGTGCACACTCATCTTGTGCCACACTGGAAGTGTGCCTGGCTTGGGTCACTTGCAGGCCTCAAGTAAGACCTGTTTTCATGCAGCATTGAGCAACTGGTGACTTTGCTGATGATGAGACTGTTGAAATGAGGTCATTCTCTAAGAGAGAGGTCAGAAAGCTAAGAATAGATAACCGGTAGCAGTTAGCATGGTACATTCATTCCAAAACTTCACCAGGCTGAACCCTGATCATTTGTACACTTTTCTGCTGCACTGAAGTTGAATTTGTAAACGTGTAACCGTCACAGAAAGCTGTCTTGAAGTTGATGTTGATGCTGGAGATGAAAGGCAGGGTCTGGTGGTTTTTGAGATTCATCATGAGGTGAAGAGCATCATGACTGCCCCTTTTGCTTTTTTTTTTCTGCAGTACTAGGGTTTGAACTCAGGGCCTCTGTTGCTAAGCAGGCAATGTACGGCTTGAGCCACACCCTGCTTTCAAACAGGGCCTGGCAGTTTTGCCTGGGGCATGCCTGGACCAGCATCCCCTGTTTATGCCTCCCATATGGTTGAGATGATAGGCCTGCTTCACCGTGCCCTGCTTCTGTTGGTGAGATGGGGCCTAGCTAACTTTCTGTCCAGGCTGGCCTTGAACCATGATCCTCCCCATCTTTGCCTCCTGAGTAACTGGGATTATAGGCATGAGCCACTGCGTCCGGCTCCTTTTAATTTTTTACTTAACTTAAACCTCTACCAGTCCTTAACCTCAGCCTCCAAGTAGCTGGGTCTATAGAGGTGTGTACCAGGCTCTTTTTTTACTTTCAAATGTGACATTATGAAGCTTTGACTATGTTCCTATGTCTCTTCTTTATTTATTTCTCCTTGTTTCTTAGGTTTTTGTGGAGACTCTGGATAAGTGTTTTGAAAATGTGTGTGAATTGGATTTGATTTTCCATATGGATAAGGTACGTTCTCTCCCTAACTAGGGCTACTAGAAAACTAAACCTAGGGCATCTCTAGCTCCCTGTGCACCTTCCTGTTGTTTCTCTTCTTCTTTTTTTTTTTTAAACTCTGACCTAGTTCTTGGTCTAGAGCCTGTTTTAATTACTTAATTCATTCACTCATTCACTTTGCGGTGCTGGGGATGGAACTCAGGGCCTCTGACCCACACTCCTAGTGTGAACTTGATTTATTTAGTAAGGTAGGTTTAATAGTTTTGAGGGGTTTGTTGCTAAGATCTACCAGCAGTTTTAACACACCCAAGGTTATTACTGGGCCTGTAACCTGGTTCAGCCACCCAGGGGCAGACTTCTTAGTGCAGGACAGTGATGACAGTAGAATAACTGACCGTGCAGCCAACAGTGAGATACATAGTGTGGTGTTGATTGTGAAGTGAGTTTCCCAGCTTGGTGAAGTTTTGGAATAATCATAACACTAGGGCTTGGACAGAGTAGAGCTTACCTCTCTCCTAAGGTGTGATGAGATGACTAATAATGTGTAATGTCACTGGAGGTCAGGTGGCACACTCAGAGGCAGGGTTGAAATGGTCTCAAGCAGTGTCCTCAGACTTGTTTTGCTATAACTGTGACACAGCCTTTGTCTTCAGGTGCCACATTACACATAGGAGACAGCCAGCAGGGGGATGGGTCATTATTTTATCTAGCTGTCATGTGCTGTCCCCACTGCTGTTCTCTGGTGACTCAGCTAATGTCACATGGCCCGTGGCCATCGGAAGGAGGTAGGATTTTTAGGAGACAACTTCTCATTGCTAAGCCATGACACTTTGTTAGCTTGTTTTCATCAGGAAAAGGAGTTTGAGGTTCCATTGTTTCTGGCGTTGCCATGTGAGGACTTCAGTCTCAGTAGGTCATCTTCAGTCTTAGTTCACTCTACCAGAGTTTGCAGATGCCCCTCTCCAGGTCTTTGTGTTCTCATTCAGATGTTGTAAAGGAGTGAAGCTCTGTGACTCCCATCGGCAGCCCAGTGCAGGAGAGTCATGGAAGCCCTTCCTTCCTTGGGTACTTGACTTGGGACTCAGCCTCACAGGGCATCCAGTGCTCACTCTCCCTCTCATGAGAAAGGATCTTGGAAACTTCTCTGTGCAAGCATTAGTAGTTTTGTGCTTGTCAGTTGTTAAAGGTACTGCTATCCTGTAATTTATTTAGGGAGAACCATAGTTCAAATCTAGTTCCCTTCAGTACTAGTGGGGAAAAAAGTTAATATGCGACTGGAGTTTGAGAGGAATGGAATTGTGTCTTCAGTAGGCCTATTGTTACTACTTTAAAGCATTTTAAATTGTGAAAAACAAGGTATTACGTTGGGATTACCACCTGGTATACAAAGTGGGTTCCTTTGTGATTGCCACCTGTTGCTTGCCAACCCAGAGAAGAATTTCTCAGTATCTCAGAGCATAGATTCACAGATAGATTTTACTGAGAAAGGGAAATTTTCCAAGCAAGGGAAGAGAAGACACAGATCCCTTACCCTCCCACTGTCAGTCTCTGCTGGAGTGACGTCCTTGTCTCCCTCCATATGTGTGCTCTTTTTATCAGGCAGCTGTGAGAGTAGCCGTATCTGTGAAGAGACATACAAGTTGTATGGACACCAGAAAGTGTGTATTTGAGTGCTAGCTGGGTATGCCAGCTGCCCAGTACCTGAGACTTGGGGGCCTCTGGGAAGGTACATTTGAGAGAGATAGTTGTAAATCTGGCAGAAAGTTGAGGTTGGGTACAGCCTGTCAAGGGGGAGTCTGTCTAAGCTAGTTTATGTTCTAGGCAGCCAAGGTATTTGCTTCCTAAGGTGACTTTGAGAATCACAACATAATGTTTTGTGTCTTATCCTCTTTGCTTGGTGGTGTTTGCAAGAATCACCCATTTTGTTGTGAGTAGCCTTAGGACAGATGCTTCTGTCACTGTTGCCTACAATTCTGTTCTGTGAATACAAGGTAATTTGTCCACTCTGTGTTAACGGTTCAGGTCTGTGCTGCTATGAAACGTGCTGCCATGAATATTACTGAAAATTATGCTGTTGTATGTTCTTGTAAATTTCTCTTGTGGCATCTATTTCTTCTGATAGTGGAGTTGCTCTGTCATGGATGCAGCCTAGGAAGAAGAAGGGGCACCCCAAAGGCACAAGACGTTTGAGGCCGGGGCCTGGTGCAAGTCCTGACGTAGGCTGTATCATTTACTACACGTTGACATGCAGACATTCTGCAGATGCCCTGCAGCCCTGTATCTTTTAATTAATTAATCTATTTATTGTCATCCTCTGCTGACCAGGATCTCCAGCATTGGGTTGAACAGAAGTGGGAACACTGGGAGTCAGGTCTTGTTCCAGGTTTCAAAGGCAGTGTTACCTTGTCACAATGAAGAATATATGTATTTGCAGTAGGTTTTTAGCAAATACTCTTGATGAGATTAGGCAATTTCTCCTTCCTCTTTCTAGTAGGTGAAGGTTTCTAATCATGAAGGAATGTTAAGTCTCAAAGCTTTTTTTGGGTCTCCTGAAGCAGTTGTGGTTTGTGTGTCTCACCATTCTAAAGCTGCTCTTTGAACATCTGTCAGGATGTCTGCTAAGGCAGTAAAGTAATTCCAGCTTTGACTGTTTTATTGGACATGACTTTTTTTTTGTTTATTTGTTTTGTTTTACCTGTATAGGCAAAAGGCTGGTCACAGGGCTAGGACTATCACTGACTCTTCTCACTGGGAGACAGGAGCCCCATCAGCCCCTAGCCTTGCAGGTCTGCAGGTGTGTTCTGGCCCTGCATACCTGCTGCAGCATCTTCCGAAGATGTGCTTAGAGCTGCTCCGGAAAGTTGTTTATTTCTACTCTGTGCTTTCTTTTTCAGCTTCCTACATTGTTTATCTCTGCTTCTCTCTCCTTCCACTCCATTCCATTTCTAGCACTAAGTTCTCTTCTATCACTCCCCAACCTGCTCTGTGCTGTTGATTTTTCAACTGCATTTTAAGTTGTCTTTATTTGTTCTTCTGTATCTGTAAATCCCCAGATTGCTTCAGTCTCACACACAGTATGACAGAGTATAGCCCTTCTGTGCATCCTGCACGCTGTAACAGTTCCAGTTCTGTCATGTCATTCAAGGGAAATTTCTTGCCTGAGACAGTGGTTTACACTGTCTTTGGGTTCTAATTTATCTGTTCCTTTTTTTTTTTTTTGTGGTACTGGGGCTTGAACTCAGGGCCTACACCTTGAGCCACTCCATCAGTCATTTTTTTGTGTGTGATGTTTTTTTTTAAGACAGGGTGTCTCAAACTATTTACTGGGACTGGCTTTGAACCTCAATCCTCCTGATCTCTGCCTCCTGAGTAGCTGGGATTGCAGGCATGAGCCAGCAGAGCCCAGCTATCTGTTCCCTTCCTAGAGCTTGTAGCCTGGCTTTCTGACCTGCCCTGTAGTGTTACATCGCCTTCTTTCATGTTTTTGCAGCATGTAGTGCTGGTAATTCTTCAGTGGAACACTCATCCTTTCTCCACCTTTATGTCTGCCTGAAGGATCCTCTCTGATTCTTCTGCTAGTCTGGTCTCCCTCTTCCAGGAAGTTATGTGTCAGTCATCTCTCCCCTCTCTCGTATCTCTACTGTAGAGCTCGTTAGTATTTCTGCTTAAATTACCATCTACACACGTAATTCCCAGTTGGTCTTGATGAGTAGCCTGAGTCCTGTTGCTCTTATTTCCAACTGCCTAGAGTCACTTTGTCCTAATTTCATTCCGTCATCTAAATTTCTTCTTACATCTTCTTACCCAGAGCCACCTTCAGCAGGTGTCCCCTGAAAACCTTCTTCTTACACCTTCCCTGTCCCACAGAGCTCCTGCTGTTCCGTCATGGCCACGCAGAACCTCCCCTCATCCTTGCTCCACATCCAGCTGCTCACTGAACTACTGCTTCTTTCCCTGTAGGGTCCTTCTTAGTTCCTGTTCCTAGATTCACCGATTAATAGTATTGACTACATTTGCTCTCACCCTTCTCTGTGTAGATAAATCCTTTGTTACTGAGCCATTTTGAGAGTTAGTTGTGGATATCATAACTTTCCATTCCTAAATACTTCAGAACTAAGATCTCATAAGCACACATGTAAATATCACACTGTGACGGGTTCTCTGTACAACTATTACATGCTAATAAGAATTTAAACAATATTTCAATAGACATCTCCTAAGAATGGTGCCATGTGTCGTGTGCAGTTCTCTACTTAGAAACAATAGAATTGAAAAGTTTAATATTTTCCCGATATAACTGGAAATTTAGCATTAATAAGTACTGTTTTCCAGTATTGGTTCATATTTAAACTTCCCCAGTTGTCCCAATAATACTGTGTGTGTGTGTGTGTGTGTGTTGTGTGTGTGTTTAATCCCAGGTTTGGTTATGGGTCAAGTATTGCCAGTGGCTATCAAGTCTCTCTTTTTTTTTCATGTTTATACATTGATTTTCAGTAATTAATGTGGGAAGTAAATTTTTTTTTTTTTTTATGAAATGACATTTTTCTAAGGACTTAGAGCATTCATTATTTTTTTTTGTGGCAGTGATTTTTTTTCTTTTTTTATTTTTTCCTTTATTAATATGTGTACACAATGATTGAGTCCTTATATCATGTCTCTTGATTTCTCTTGTGTCTTACCAGGTATTCTAACCTTTCTTGCTTTTCCTTGTTGATTCTACACACTAATTAGATGAGTTTCTCTAACCACAGCTTGGTCTAACCTTGATATCTTGGCCAGACATTCAAGGCTTTTCACACTTTTTCCCTACCCTGTCTTGGCCTTATGTGCTATTACTTCCTGACAGATACCCTGTTCTGGCCGGGGCAGGTTGTTCTTATTCACTCTGTAATTCCTGCCTTGGGGCTCTGTCTGCATTGATTTTTCACACCTTTTTGCATATTGAGCCCTGTCTGTCATTCAAGCACATCCTCCTCACCTGGCCTATTGTGATCTCTGCACCGTGGATAGCA